TCGGCTTTGTAGTCTCCGCTTGGCGTGACATGGACGGCCGCGGCAAAGAGGCAGATGACGGCTCTCCCCCCTCCTCCCGCTGCCCACAGGGGGTCTGCCAGGGCTGCAGCCAGGGCCTCCCCTTGCTCCTGCCGGCTTATCCTGCACAGCCTGCAGCGCAGGAGACAGGGGCGTGGGGCAGGGATGCTGGGGGCCAGGGTGTCGAGGGTGCTGAGAGCCCCCCAGACCTCAGGCTGAACCTGAGTGTGAAACAGGGCTGGACCCCAGACGTGGCTGGGAGGACTGTGCAGCCCTAACAAGTGGGAACGCAGAGATGTGATGGGATTTGTGCAGAAGGCACATAGAGCTGCACCCATCTTCCTTAAAATTTCTACTTTTCACTTGGTGCCGTTGCTGCTGTGCTTCCCGTGTGCTGGGAGGGATATGTCTGCCGTGGGGGCTTTCACCCTGGCTGGGGCTGCCGCGTGGGTGTCCCCAGCACCGAGGGCTGAGCTCTGTCCTCCCCTCCCCAGCACAGCCCGCAGCACGCTTGGCTCCCGGGGCCGGTGTCGGCCGGCAGCCTGGTGAGCAGCCGTGCAGCGCTGGTGCTGTCCAAGCACTGCCACAGGCTGCGAGCACAGCACCAGGGAGCGGGGCAAGGAAGCAAAGCACCACTGCTACAAATCCAAATGTTTTGGAGGGAAAAAACCTTGCCTGGGAGTCAGACAGGGCTTTTCTCCTGGGTGCAAATCCCCACCTGTAGCTGCAAACCTGAACTTGGGTCTAGTTTGGTTTAACCTAGAGACTGGTGCTGGTCTGTCTTAGGCCAAATAAAGCAAGGAAATAGTTTCTGTATGTCCTGTGGGTAGGCTGAGCTTTTTACCTTTCCAGGTGGGCATGTTCCGTGTTTCTTACAAAGAGCAGATACTTAATGATGTGCGCTTGTACAGCCATCAGAATGGCTCTTGTTCCTCCCTAGAAACAGAAAGACAACACTTCCCAGTGCTAGGGAGCCTGAACTGGCACGTGCGACATCCATCTCCTGAAAATCACCGCAATCGCTGGCCAGCGTGAGCCATCCCACTGTCAGTATAGAATCATAGAATCATAGAATCATAGAATCATAGAATGTTTTGGGTTGGAAGGGACCTCTAGAGGTCATCTAGTCCAACCCCCCTGCAGTGAGCAGGGACACCGCTAACTAGATCAGGTTGCTCAGAGCCCCGTCCAACCTGGCCTTGAATGTTTCCAGGGATGGGGCCTCCACTACCTCTCTGGGCAACCCCTTCCAGTGTTTCACCACCCTCATTGTAAAGAATTTCTTCCTTATATCTAGTCTAAACCTACCGCGTATCAGGGGGCTAACTTTTCTTTTCTCCCTGGGAATTCAGGAGCGCTGCTGACAACTCCTGAGATAAAAAGTATATTGAAAAAGACCTTATGTGCCTAAACCCAACAAGTCTTTAGGCAAGAAAAATCTCCAGTGTGACCCTGCCTGCGTGCTCATGGGGAGGGGAGGTCCCAGACTGGGGTCTGGGATCCCTTCCTTGCAGCGCTGCAGCCGCAGGGAAGGGCTCTGAGCTTGAGGTACCACATATGCCCAGAAACACCATGGATTGTTTTTTCTCTCCTCCAGCCTCTCAGCAAAGGGACTGGGGTCTTGAGGCAGTGTGGGGCTGACGTGGGGCAGTGCATGAGGCTGACCATGCCCAGCTCCCTGCTGTGCTGGCTGCACGTCAGAGCTGTTGTCCTTTCTGTGGTCACAGAACCTCTGAACTCAGGGACCTTCACCTGCATTTGTAAAAAACACTTTAGTCTCCTGGTGGGTTAAAATATCACATTCCAGTCCTGTAATTTGCTGTAAAGGCTATGTCTGGAAGTCCCTGTAACCTGCCCTGTGGAGAAAGCTCAGCTGGGCAGATGTGCAGAGCACAGGGTGCAGGCATGCAGAGTGTGAGGTGCAGGTATGGGGTGCAGGCATGCAGAGCGGGGGGAGCAGGTGTGGGGAGCAGGCATGCAGAGCGTGGGGAGCAGGTGTGGGGAGCAGGCATGCAGATTGTAGGGTGCAGGCATGCAGAGCATAGGGTGCAGGGGTGCAGAGCGTGGGGAGCAGGCGTGCAGAGCGTGGGGAGCAGGTGTGGGGAGCAGGCATGCAGATTGTAGGGTGCAGGCATGCAGAGCATAGGGTGCAGGCGTGCAGAGCGTGGGGAACAGGCGTGCAGAGCGTGGGGAGCAGGCACATGCACCGCTGAGGCATCCAGTGCTGGCTGCCAGTACCATAGCGTGGCTGAGACACCAGAGAGACGGTGCCAGTCACTGCACTGAAACATTTACCTTTTCTGCCTCCAAAGCATAAGCCAGGTCCGAGTATGGCTCGCGAAACCTGAAGTATGCTTTTGCCCATTCGCAGCTGAAGAGGTGGAACACGTTTCCAAACAGCAGCTTTCGCAGCCCCTGTGGTGGTGGAGAAAGCTGGGTTCAGCTCCCTTCTTATCCCAGCACCATGAAGGATCTTTAACGTCGGAGGGGCCTCAAGATAGAGGTTCAGGGTGTGCGCTCACAGCCAGAGCTGGTTTGGTGTGGGAGGTCACGGGCGGTAAGGCCAGCACTGGAGACCATGCTGCCATCACCTGCAGAAACCCCCTGAGCTTCTGGTGAAGGCTCTTCATACAGGCAGGGGCAGCAGGCACCCGTCATCTCTCAAAACCAGGTATTTGGGTGCAAGTAGAAATATCTTACTGGTGTCCTGAACTTCTGCCTCCTGTTCTGAGGCTACTCGCTAGGAAAGCACTGAAGAACAGGGCAACGTTACGCTTTGTCATTTGACCTATTATAGCATATCAGCTTTAAGGTTGTGTTGCAACCATGTTCTTTAAAAGTCACATAAATAAATCATTACAATTGTATACTTCTGTTACAGATAACAGCAGGCTGTAGCCTGCAGCCTTCACCCCAGCAATACACCGAGCCTCCTGCAACGCCAGGTAAGGTTCCCGAGTCTTTTTCTTTTAACGAGATTAAATTACAGCTCATGCTTAATTCAGCAGGCCTGCTCACCATTGCCATTTCCAAGGAGATGGGTTGGCCGCCTGTGTCTGCAGCGAGCAGGAGGGGCTTGGGGAGGGTGGAGGGGGAGCGAGGCGGTGGCCCCGCAGGCTCTCCAGCTCCAGGTGGTCCGTGGCCAACGCTGCCCTGGCCTCGCTGGGCAGAGAGAGGAGCAGATGGGACATCATCCTGCCGCTGTACACAGCCAACAGACGACTCGCCTGCGCCAAAAGTTACCTCCCCCCCACCAGTATTCCCAGTGGGGTGGGCACAGCAGCCCGGCGATGAGCTTGGAGAGGGGCAGGACACACGTGGTCAGGGAACATTGGCATGTTTGACTTCCCGCTTTTTTCAAACATTACAAATATGTCCCTACAAGCTACTGACTGGAGTATAAAGTAATGTTATGTTTGCCTGAATTACAGGGAATAAACTTCACTGCTTTCCAACCTAAAGATGCAGCAGGTTTCCCAAATACTTATATTTTAGAGTTCTTAATTTGTTATCCTGTTTTCCTGTGTTCTAAAACTGACCATGAAAACCATTACTTTTAAACAGAAATATTTATTTATGTTGGACTGCTCTGCCACTTTGATTTAGATCAGGAAGACATTCCTTTAAAATATCTGGAGAAAATGCATGTATCTTAAAGGAGGAGCATAAGAAATAAATCTCCATAAAGACTTGTCTGCTGTGCTGCAAACACAGATGCACAATTTCCTCAACATCATAACCTGGTCACAAAAACCACTAGAAAAATACAAAATGTTACCTTTTAGAGAAACAGTTACCTGATGAGTTGTATTGCTGCTTTCCAAACTGAAAAGGGAAAATAAAGTACAAATTAAAAAAACAGGCATTGCTAACATGAAGAAACAAGAGATCAGCCAGAAAAGAACTTCCAAAGAGAAGAAGAGTAAAAGCTGTAGTAGTTGCATTACTGAATACATGAAGACCCTTTTCCATGCTCACATAAGTATTGTAATAAACAGAACTTAAAAAATGATATTTAAAAAGCACCTGGAATTAAAACCATGCGATATGAAAGCAGATTAAAAATCTTACCCACAGAAACTAAAAATTTCTCTCCATTTGTTTAGATCTGAAATTTTGCTGGTGATCTCCTCTAGCTGTGCCTGTGGTACGCTGTGCTCAGCCTCCTGGTCACCCATCGGCAGACGCCCGTGCTCCGGGCCGGGCTGAGGGACGCTGGGCTCCCCCCAGACCCTGCGAGGCACCCGAATCCCCTCTGCCTGTCACCCCCCGGGGCTCACTGTCAGCTCCCACCGTCACACTGGGATTAAGCTTCCATGAGAGCCCGTCATAGCCTGCGCTTTTCTGTTCACTGTACAAGCAGCATGAATGTTTAATGCCAGACACGGAGCTATATAAAGCCGACTGCAGCCATGTGTCTGCTCTGCAGGGGCTGGCTCCAGGCGTGGTGGGGTGCAGAAGCAGGGGGTGTTTTCCAGCTGCAGGGCTGCAGCTCCCTCCACGCGGGCTGACAACAAGCGGGACCCGGTCTGGGCTGCGAGGGATGGTGGGAAGTGCGTAGCTCAAGGGAAAAAAAATAAATGCAGACTTAACAGATGTCTGTAAAGTTGAACAAGTTTGCTGGGAAGACAAGCTGGGAAAAGGCAAGATCCGTGCAGAGTGGCATTCCCTTGACTGTAGCAAGGCTGGTATCCAGGGGCACGGGTCAGGCACTGCGTAGCTGAGCGAGGGGAAACCCATGGGTTTTGTGCTGCCGAGGTCATGGAAATCTCACAGTTTGTTTTCTTCTCTTTCGGTCTGTGAGAACGTGCTGACCAGCAATACCTGTCTGAGTTTCAGTGGAAAAAAGGTGAGGTTGAGCTGATGTTAATGAGCTGAGCCTGGCTTGCCGTGGGGCACCGGGGAGCTGCTCGGGGTTTCCCCAGGCAAGCCTGAGCTGGGCCTGTCCGGGGCAGCCGTATGGTCCAGCTCCAACAGCTCTGCGTTCTCTGCAGGGTCATTTGGAACAGCTCAGCTCAAGTCTTGGTTTATGAAAAACTATCTGAGCCAGCCTGCATGCAAGACATCAATGCCCTGTCTTTTCTTCCAGCTGAAGGAGCCGTGGCTTTATTGGGTAAAAAGAGCTGCTCTCTTTTTTGATGCTACACAGGTTCCAGTCTTTCAGCTTCCTAAAAACTGATGTAAATTCTCTTGTCCCCTTTGTCTGTACTGGAGTAGCTCTTCCTTATAGAAAGGGTAGAGTATCCACCGGCTTCCCAACAAGTCAAATCTAAACCATGTGCTTGTGCTTGGGAGCTGGGGAGGCTTTGCGGCAGCAGCTCCGCACCACCACGCTACCAGCAGTTGTGGCTGCCAGAGTGCTTGTAAATGGGGAAAATCAAACACGAGGCTAACTTTTTCTTCTCCCTCGCATGTTCCCAGGTGTGGGGAGCAGAGGACAATTCCCAACTGCAGTCAATGGGAGTTGTGTTCTTGCACCCGAAGAACTGAATTTGGCTAGAAAGGAAGATAGCCCTTAGGAAGCTGGGCTGTAACAGCAAAGCATGCTCTGCTGGGTGCATCCCTACCTAATTTAATTGCCTCCCAAGGATGCATGCTGGTACAAAAGGAGTTTGACCTGGAAAATCAGTCAGTCCTTCCCTCTCTGATAAACACTGGCTTACCTCATGAGTGGATTTGTTGTTAGCTCTTGTCATTTCTTTGGGTTCTTGATGTGAGCAGAACCCCTCCCCATCTGGTTCGGCAGTTGGTCTGGAAAACTGGAGGGAGGACATGGCATAGGACACCCCATCCCTCGGCCACAGGCAGCATCCACAGCACCCTGTCCTGTTCCCCCTGAGGGGCTGGTTCCCCCCACCCCTTCTCCAACCTCCATCCAGGCTGGGCTGTTTTCATGCCTGCCTGGTGCCCCCCAGGGAGAGGATGAAGTCCGACTTCAGGATGATGGCAGCTGAGCGACACCCCCATCTGTGTGCCACCACCATGCCGGAGGGGACATGGACCCACATGTCCTGGCCTCTGATGGCAACAATGGCTGCCAGCAAAAATAACGCTGTTAAGAAGTTAATGAAACTTTGTGTTTCCACGGCAGCTTCCATCTCCAGATGTCGAAGCCCTTTGAGATAAGTGAATATTGGCTCAAGGGGAGAAATCCCCGCTTGCATCAATAGGGCTTTGGCACAGACCTTTCCCGACTTCTCCATGATGTAGGTAAGTGCTTTGAGATGTTGGAGAGGAAGCTGTGAAGCTTAATTTACTTCTTCCCTAGCACAGTCTCAGCTCTGTTATAACTTGGAGAGGAAAGGCTCCTCGCTGGGACAGCAGTGCTGCCATTTCCACAGCTGTGGCCAGTGCTGAGCATCCCTCCTGCATGAGGCAGGGGGGAGGCATCCCTTGTCCCACTACCCCCCCGGGCCCAGGCTGTGGGGCATCCGGCTGCAGGGTTCATCGTTAGCACAGCTCCTGCCATGCTAATGCCCAAACTGCTCCATACTGTGGGGTCTCACTGAGAGGTGTCATTTCTTGGCTGTACTTTATGGAACCACCGCAGATTTCAGTGTGGGCGTATTGCTCCTGCTGGTGCAGGGAAGTCGACTAAGTCTGTTGTTCACGCTGTTTCCAAATGGTAAATGTTCTCTGCCTGGGGTAGTAACTTTGACAACAAAACCCATGAAGGTGGATATGCTTTAGAAGGGTCTGCTATGGGAGCCAGCAGTATGGGAGCTCAGGGCAGTCACAGCAGTGGGGTGGAATATGGGTCCAGAGAGGATGGTGAGCTCCACATCTGGCACACAATGCTCCTCTGCTCACCGCTGCTTCAGCATTGTGGGCCAGTGGCCTAAGTCTGGTACACACCCTCGTATATATATACTTATTATATATATTTTTATTTATATGTATGCACACTGCATGCACACAAACAGACACTCATGCATACTAGATTTTTATTGGGATAGGAAAAAATCTGATTTTTCAAGAACCTTCAAAATATATTTATATGCTTCTCCTCACTATACAATTTTTGTTGTTTTTTAAATCGTGAAATATGCTAGTCTGGAAATGAAACAGGGAAAAACTTCTTTAGCTGATGCTCATGGATTACAAGTGAGCCACAGTGTAGGTGCTGGTGCTCATCCAGGAGCATGGGCCGAGCAGGTCACGTTTGGTCTGACTGTTACTTTCAGCTGGTCAAACACAAATATTGGCTCAATTTTATTTTGCTAAGAAGTTGCTCCGTTTGCCTTGGGAACTGGATAACTGCATGTAACAGCTGGCCTCATGTTTGTGAGTGGAATGTGATGGGATGCGGGGGGAGCGGTGAATCCCCCCATGAAAATGCCCAGACCCTGAGTCAGGGGCTGCTCTGTCCTGCACAGCAAAAGGGACGGGGATGGGTTTATGTCCTGGGCTGAGGCAGGTCTGTGCAACTCTGTCCTACACACGTACAGGCCAGCTCCTTCTTCAGGACTGGCAAGGGCCACTTGCACGTGAGTGGTCTGTACGTCTGACCCTGCACACTGCGACTGCTGAAGCTGCAAAGCAGAGCAGCTTCATGAAACATCAGGAACAAGAAGGACAAAACACTACTTCTCATTATTTGCTGTATAGTAAACAATACCTAATACAAATTATGCATTAAGAAGATACATTAACAAGAATATGCATACTAATTAAGAATAAAATGATGGAAAAAACTGGGGGTCGTGGCAACCTGCAGTAGCCCTTACACGTTGTTACAATCTAGGAATATACGGTACAGCGTGGGGAGGCAGAGCTGCTTCGGGAAAGGGTTTGTGGAGTAGGGGCATAGCTGACAAACCTTTTACAAAAAAACCCAGCAATGTTTTGCCATTCATAGGAAAAGCATAAAAACTGTCCTAAAAGTCATAAAGATCATCCTGCATGTTGCTGGAGCCTGAAGCACGCAGTTTTCAGAGACAAGTCCTAACAGCTACCTGGGGCTGATTTTCACCACAGGTGGGTTGGTGGATGCTGGGTGGGATTGCTCCTCATCTGCAGCTGTGTGGAAGCAGCCCCTGCAGATAAATGGGCTGCTGGTGCAGCAGCTTCCTTCCTATGCATCTGCTCTTGTGTTTGCTCTGGATGTTGTTTTCATGTCCTGCAAGGAGCACCTCATCTCCAAGGTACCCGCGTAATCCCACGGAGGTAGCGTTTGGTGGCATAATACCCTTTGGATCTACCCATATGTAACTGGGCTGGTGTAGCTGTACCTGGGGTGAGCAGTCTGGTTGCTTTACCGACTTGTAGAAGTTTAAGGGTGCAAGGGCTGATGTGTTTTGTTTGTTCTGGCTTCCCATGCGCCTTGAGGTAGAGAACCTCAAGTATTGCTTCACCAGTCTCTGCTGAGCTGCAGGATGCCTTGTAAGCCTGTCTGCTGTGTTATTGCATTGCTGCCCTTTGCTAAAGCTTTTGATTTTGTTTATTTGTATTATTTGAAGAGTGAGACTTTGTAGGGCTGTTTTCTGGGCATGGTTCTTTGTGCTTCTGACCGTGGGCCTTTGGGAAGAGTGCAGTGCAGCGTGAAAGGTGCCTGGTTTGCATTCCTGTTGCTTTGTTCTGGGAAGTGCTCTTTGCCTTGGTGTGTTGCAGACGGGTTGTTCAGCAGCACCAAGCCAGGCCCCAGCCAAGCAGGAGGGAGTAATTGGCATCTCCTCTATGGCCTGCTTTTGCCATGTGTGTCTTTTTAAACAAGATTGTGAAGCTCCCAGCTATAGTGATCGCAGAGGGAGATGAGGACTTTTGGGACTTCAGGGTGAAAGAGTTACTGTTTAGTTTGTTAAAACTGAAGAACCCAAAAGAGAGCTTTATGGACAGAAACAATGACACTGCGATGCCTGTGATGCTAGTTTAAAGTGTTAGTCGTGGGTTCAGGTGTTTAGGTTTTGTCCTGCAAGCACTTGCTATAGTGTTGTGTTCCTTCTCAGCATTGTGCTGTTGAGATGGAGCCTGATGTGTGTTACCAGCAAATCCCATACGCTTTCTTTTCTCTTGTTTGATGCTTGTGGATTTGCTGGGCATCCTTGTTATCTGCTGCCCAGATATGGGAACAACTGCATGCCTGCCTTCACAAGGGCCAAAGAGTAAAACTGCTGCTGGTGATAGTGTGTGCCTCTATTGCAAGCCATTTATTTTACTTTCCTGATCCAGTTCAGCACTATTGATATTCCTAGTTTTCTTCATACCAGCTACTTCTTAAACAACTTACTAGAAAAAAAGCAAATGTCTTCATAAGGTCTTACCCCAAGAGAGAGAGGGTATTTTGATCTAGATGTTACCAAATAGTATGTTTCTTTTGTTTACTGCATACGCCATGTTGACATTTATTTGAATCTTAACTTTTTTCAGCCTCTGTAGAGCTTATCGTTTACAAGTTCATATATCTGGTGGTTGTTGAATATAGCAGTGATGAACATCTTTGCTTTAAATGTTCTTAAATTATGTAATTCTAATACATCAGGTCAACTGCACCAGTGGTTGTCCCTGAATCTTTTGACTTTGAGAAGGGAAATTCAAATCCAGCAAATCGTATCAGCAAGGCGTTCAGGAATTGCACCAGGGAGCAAACCAGGATGATCCAGAATGAATTTGCAAACTGTTCGCTGTGAGTCTTGAATGTGAAACTCCCCTCTTTGAAATTAGCGATTTTCTCTGAAAGGTGATGGATCTTCACTTCTGAAGAGAAGAGAATCATGATGAGGCAGCCACAGGAACCTGAAACGGATGGAGAGATGCTCATCGTCTCAGCAATCCCTGCAGCAAGGCTGCCCAATGTACCTCGCAACCAAATGCTGTGTTAGTGTTCTTATGGCCACTGTAACTTTGCATTAACAGGGATTATTTTTAGAGTCCAAGCCAACAACTATTGAAATTAGTAAGCTTTTTTAATTGAATTTGGCTTAGGACCCATAATATTTAGCATGGCTGCTTTAGTGCCCCCATACAGCAGTCTGTGCTCTTTTTCAGCTTTAAGCTGCTCATTGTCCCATTGAATGTAACTGAACTGTCTGCATGTTTACAGATAAAGATGTACTTAAGTTCTTTATTAAATTATGATTGTAATATGTAATACCTTGTAAACTAATGGTACATCTTGTCAGCCAAGCTGGTGACACAGGGAATGGGTTGTACCTTCTCTGTAAGTGCCAGAGACAGGGATGGTCCCTTATCCCTGTTGGCAGTGTTTTTCAGAGACCACTTTTACAGTGAGTTGCTCTCTGTCTCTCTCTGCTTCTCAATTCCTTCCTTCCTTGAGAAAGCCTTGCTGGTGCAAGTGGAGATCTCGCTTACGCAGCTGGAAACCTCCCACCTTGGTGAACACGAACAGTTGCATCACTGACTTTTTTGGTTTGTTTTCCCCCCCCTTCCCTCTCCAGTGTGATTCCCAGTTGTGACCGTGTGTTGTGTGTCTGTGATGTGACCGCAGCTCCTGGGCACCGTCCCCTTTTTCTGCCAGCTTATGGAGAAGGGCTGGGGGTGCCGAGGCTCCCTGCACCCCTACCCATCCCGCTACCCACCCTCATGGAGGATTTTGGCATTTCACCTCTTAAGTTCAAAACCCATGTTTTGATACAGCAAAGTCCTTCCTGCCTAGCTTTTGTTTTGCCAGTTTAGAGTCAATGCAGCCACAGTCCCTGATGCAGTCTCCTATGCTGATAAATCTGCTATCGTAAGTAGCAAACATGGGCAGGCGTTAGCCCAACAGGCCAAGGGCGGAGTGGTACTTACAGGCGATGAAGCTCCAGAGGTACAACCCGACGGGGCCATGCAGAGTTTCGTAAGGGCTGCCAAAAGCATTGAACATGAAGAAACCTGCTCCCACCAGAGCAAAGACGATCAGTACTGTACAGAAGAGAATGACACTAACATGGATACTTGCAGGGATAATTTTGAGCAAATCTGGAAAAACTAAAAACAAAATGAACAAAACATTATTATACACATTAGGCAAAGTTGTTTTAGAAGTCAGGCTGGGGATTTCTTGCTGGTTTGAGATAATTGTTTTAAATCATGCTCTCCCAAATGCAACCAAAGATGAAAATGAATGTTATTAACTAGAAACAGGTTTTCATGGATGATTGCAGGCAAAAGCATATTGTGATGCTTGGAAGTGCAGACTGGTGAGGAGAGAAAGATCAGCTCTGGGGAAAGCCTCTCCCCTCCTTCCCAAACGTGTTTCCTTATGCGCATTATTCCCCCCGCCCTGGCCATACCCCATGCGGGATGTGGAATGGCATCTCTGCGGTGCCAGCCCCCCACTGATGGCTGCCTGTGCCAGGCTTTCCAGGCTGTGACCCCCAGTTCCTCCAGCTCTTTAAGCACTGGGGACCTGCTGTGGGTTGGCATCCTCAGTGGCTGCTCCCTGAGCCTCGTGTGTGGGCAGGCAGAACACATTCCTCTCAATCTGTGGGTGCTCTTGAGGGCAATATGAGGTTTTGGGGGTTATACATTCCTCAGAAAACAGATCGTGCAGAAGCAAGCTGGAGGGTAATGTGCCTACTGTTTGCCAGGGTGGTATTTGGTCCTTAACACGAACAGCATATTCTTAGAAAAAAATCCAAAGCTGTATCTGAGGAAGTGGGTTTACCTTGTCCTGACCTGTGCGGTGGCGCAAGGGGCTACTCACAGCGCCTGTGCGAGGGGTCTCATCCTGCATCCCTCAGCTGGAGGCTTGGCCTTTTGGAGGGGGGGACCACAGTAAATCCAGAAATAAACTCTCTATGTTTATGCTCATGAGGTCTCACTGAGGGATGTGAGATTGGAAATGAAATTGTGCTTGCTTGGCTCATTCACTGAACAGAAGGCAATTCGTATTTATTTGCTTGGATGGATCTTTATCAGCTTCTGGGCTCGGTTACAATCGATGTGTGTGCGTGTCACTCTTAACGCCAGACCCTGCCTGGAGTGGTCAGCAACTCATAGAATCATGGAATTGCTTAGGTTGGAAAAGACCTTTAAGATCTTCAAGTCCAACTGTTACCCTAACCCTGCCATTCCACTACTAAACCATGTCCCTAAGCACCTCGTCTCCCTGGCTTTTAAATACCTCCAGGGATGGGAACTCGACCACTTCCCTGGGCAGCCCATTCCAGTGCCTGACAACCCTTTCTGTGAAGAAATTTTTCCTAATGTCTAACCTAAACCTGCCCTGGAGCAACTTGAGGCCATTTCCCCTTGTCCTATCACTTGTTACCTGGGAGAAGAGGCTGACCCCCACCTCACTACAACATCCTTTCAGGCAGTTGTAGAGGGCGATAAAGTCTCCCCTCAGCCTCCTTTTTTCTGGGCTAAGAAGTTTCCATATGAAACATGTTTCTTGGACTGCATTTTTCTGGTCAGTAGAGTCTTGTGTTTATCTGATTTTCCAAAATACAGGTGCAGAGAGGGTATGGGGAGGTCAGGTTCCTGATTCCATGTCACTATCCACACCACATCTGTTGTGTGTCATGTGGTACCTGGGATAGGGCGAGGTACCTCCCCTTCCCGAGGGATGCTGCTTCTGGCTCCTGTGCCCGGGGCAGGGAGGATGCTGGGCAGCCCCTGCAGGCTTGGGGGTCCCCCTCCCTCGCACCAGCCTCTTGGTCTGGACCACGTCACAGGCAATGTGTGATGCCTGAGGTGTGCGCTCGCTTGGTTTGGGGAAGCCTGTGCTGTTTATTTATGTCTGATGTGTCTGAAGTGCACAAATATTAGGGTTTGATGCTTTATCTGCTAGAGAAGCCAAGCCTGCTCTTGGCTGGGATGCTGATTTCCACTCTGTTTCAGAGCAGGGATTCCACCACATTGATTGATTAACATAAAATATACAGTGCCGTTTTGCTAAATTTATACCCATAGAATTTTGGCTAAAAATGTGGTTTTTTTCTGAATACCTTAAGCAATAAATGTGTAAGTTAAAAGGTCCACATTAATTATGAAGAAGCAAGAAATCATTAGCAAAGCTGCGGTGCTGACAAAGTGGCAGGTTAAATGTCTTGTGCACTGCATGTTGCTGGGGGATATTCAAGGCTCCAAGACTGTATGATATCTGGGGAAGATAATGTTTATGGTATGGAGACTCCCTGTGAAAATTCACCAACAGTTATTGCCAAAGAGACATGTAGACATCTGAAAGGATCGGAGGTTTCTTACCTCCTGTCCTCTGGCACTTCTCTATTTTTAGAAAATAAAAGTTGCTTTGATAAAAGCCCTTAAAAATAGAAAAGGGATATATTTCTGTACATGCATTAATATCTTAAATTATTTATGAAACTAAATATGATACTAAAGAGGGAGAAATTCATAAAGGTTACATTGAAGTTATTTGCAACAAACTCTCTGAATGAAATTTTGAAAGAATAAGTGAATTTCATGTGATCCAAACTTCCTCCCCTGTATTTTCTCAGGTAAAACTCTTAAGGAATGTTTTGTGTCTGGAAGCCCAAGGCCAGAAAGGGAAGATGATAAATCAATGAGAGGAAATGGAGAAGTCTTACAACAAAAAAGTGGGGTACAAAGCTAAAATAAGACGGCAAATAAAATGAGCGTGCAGCTGTGAAGGCTGGTGCTGCCCTGTGCCAGCTCTCCTCCTGCTTTGCTCCGTGGAGTTGAGAGTAAGAAGGCTGTTGTGGGTATAGCCTGTGTTACACTGCTAATGTGTACATTCACCACATATTGTATAATTTTAAGTTTCCAAAACCTGAAAACTTCAGTATAGCTGCATTTACCACTATATCATTTGCCCCACGAGAGCCCATGGAGCAGGTCGGGATGGTGGTGGGAAGCAGTACCCAAATGGCATGTGTGGTTTTGCACTTACAGTTAATTATTGCTGCCTGACGGACTGAAGGCTGTGCTGAGTTCCAGCCATGTAATGGCTGGTGTGACTACTTATGTAAAAAATTAGGAATAACTTATTTCAAATATTTTTACGCAGCTTTTTAGCTACTGTTTCACATTGTGATCCTGCTTAGCTAGGGCACAAGGGGATAGTCAATCAGACTCACTATGAGAGAATAATTTTTAATCACTCATATTTGCTTGGCAACAATGTGTATTTTAGAAGGAATCATCAAATACACTTAACTGCTCCTGATCCACAGGGGCACGATTAAAGCAGGGGTAATAACATCTCAGCGCTGCCTCGCTGCAGCTGTAACGTGCAGAGAGTGAAAAAGCCTCACATAAATTACTCTACCTTGTAAAATGTTTGCCAGCAAACAGTTCTGCAGCTTGCCATGCAGTGAACAGAGAAGCAGGTAATGCGGTGTCAAGTCAATTTATCTCCCTGACTAAATGAAAGGGAAATTAATGAAGCAAATGTTTGTAACTATTCTCAAAGCAGTGTTAAATAAATACCACCTTTTGCCTTGCTGATGGCTGGCTGGGAGCAGAGAGGGGCACCCCGTGCCCACGGGGGATGGTGGCCTGGGGACCGTCACCAGGCACAGGAGCACAAGGGGGTATGCGGAGCCCTGTGCCCACTGTCTGTGAGGCTACATGAATGCTCACACCTTCCTTGGGTACCGGAGGAGCCACCTGCTCCTGGGGACAGCACTGGCCCAGGGTTCTGCTCTGCTGGATCCCCTTTCCTGGGGGCACCCCCGCTGGCCTGGCACCTGGCTCCTGAGCACAGGGAGCATCTGGATGCCAGGTCTAGGCCAGGACCACAACTGCTTTCGGCCTCTGCATGTGCTGCCCACAGCAACACTGCCTGTTTGCTAAACCAGCCTATTTACCCAAAGGGAGAATGTGCCTGCACAAAAGGTTATTTCTGCTGATGGCTACTTATTGTTCAGTTTGGCCACTGGTGCCTAAATTCCTTCTATCATCCTAGTAAAACACAAAGGATGTTTTAGAAACCAGACCTTGTGTTTATTTGACTTCATATTACATGCATCAGCTATTTACAAGCATAAGAAGCAGTTGTACTCTTAGTGTGGTATGAGGTACAATTTTACTGTTGTACTGTTCAGGGTAGCCAACGAAAAGGCTGAAGAGTCCCTGCCTGTTCAGAATTTCTGCAAGGAATAGCATTAGCTCTTGCAATGCTACCTGATGTTTTAGGAGAAAATGCAAAACTGTACTTAATAATACAATTCTGTATTGTTTATTTTAAGAAAACACACTACTGCATTGTATTGAAGCTTTCCCTTGGCACCTGCATTTATAGTTGTTTGTCATTAAAATTTTATATGTGACATATCAGGAAAAATTAATTCCAGCAGCTATGTTGTCTTGAAAGAAAAACATTCCTTCATTGTAATGAATGAAATTGTGTTAGGTATGCATGCCAGTGACCTTTAGAAAATGAACTGCTGACCCAGAAACTGATGAGAATCAGCAAGAGCAAATGAAGCAGAAGGCTTTCCCCAGCCAAACTGGGCTTGCTGGCAGAGCAAATTCATTTTACAATTAAGAGATATAGTGGTCAGAGGGGAGCATTTAACAGGCACAAACACAGAACTAAATCATTTAGCCTCTTTTCCATGCCTTTTCTCAGACATGCTGAAGTGCGCTTCCGTGCATTAAACTATGGACGTGTATATTGTATACAGTTATCCTGCTTTCCTGGATGCTCCCAGTGAGTTCCCAAGAGCACTGACTGGGATGGGATGGGTCTGCTGCAGCCCCAGAGAACAGGAACCAGCTTCCTTCGTTAAGTGAACGCTTCTAGTAGAGGCATATTTTGCTAAGCCAACCAACCACTGTTTCTAAATATAAATACTATTAAAGCAAGTGTTGTATTTGCTTTTTGATCTAAATAAAAGATGATCTGAGAACAATTTGTGGGGAGGACAACAGTGCTTCGACCCTCAGCTCTCAGCAGAGGCTCACAGGGGCGAAGCCTGCCCTGCGGAGTGCTGCAATTGGTACAGCCGGGCTTGTGAAATTATTTAGGCTGTAACTGGGCTACATTTCGGGTATACACAGTGCCAAAGATTGCCTTGTAGTGTTACCTTTTCAGAGTGCTATAAAGATGCAAGTGCAGGCAAGTAAGACTGATGAGATGGGCTTTTAATACTGTGAGTGAGACCTAGTGAAATATTTCACTATTAACGCTTGGCTTGTACGGAAGGAGAATAAAAGGTAAAAGAATGCTCTGATAAGCAAGCTTGGCCACAGTTTTGGCTCAGTCAAGGTTCTTGGGTTGTGTTCCTGAGCCTGGTGCTATGGCCCTGCTAGCTCTGCTACTGCAGGCAATGATCTGCTGTGACTGCTGCCCAATGGGCTGGGACACTGGAAATGGGGCTGGTCCCTGGGGAAGGGTGCTGCTCCATCACAGGCATGTCAGTGGCTTCGCTTTGACACAAGGAGTCTCGGGCATAAGATTAAACCTAGCCTTGATTTCAGATCCTGGGAACAGGCATTAAAGCACATGCTTCAAACCTCATTTTTCCTGTCTGAAAATGAGAACAGTGGTATTTACTGATGTTGAGTGAATTACTTTTTCAATGTGTTTTTCTTTATACAATTCCTGAAAGCCTTGGAGTTCTTTGACTATGCACATTAGGCACTCATACTAAATTAATTTTTAATATTGTCCTGGCAGTAGGATTCTGCAGCTTGGTATGAACACCCAGGTTTTGTGGTTGTTTTTTTACCATTTCAGAGTGGGTTGCTTAGCTGTGACTATTAAAAAATTTTACATTGTATTCTTTGTTCTTTGATTACATTTGTGTTTTATGTGCTCTGTTGAAATTATGAATGCAAGTTTGGTAAATATTTGGATAGGAAAGCTTGGTCACATGAGAATTCTGTGAGCGTGGATAGAAACTGTATGGCCATAGTGAGAGCAAATTCTGTAACCCTGGACTACTTCTGGCTGAAAATGCTCTGCAGTACTTGCACAGATCCAGAGCTTACCAGTACATAGCACTTTGAGATATTTAAAAATACGTGATGATTCATATTACTAAATCATCACAAACAAGCTGCACATTTGTATTCTCTCTTGTACCTGGAATATTAATTCACACTGCCCACAAAATTAAAATTCTTTTGAAACTACTGCTACAATCACACTAGCAGTGTATTAAAATATTGCAGCGATAGCAAGATGAAATGGAGAGATGGGAGCCTGAATGCGAGGCACATCAGTGAAATGGTTTAAAAGTATCAAAGTGACAAATATGCAGGAAGAAAATGATTACAAATGGCCTGTCTTGACTGGTTTCTCTGGCATGGGGGCTGTCTGTGGTGGCTGGGTTTAGTCCTGCCTTGTACACTGAGCAGATACGGACTAGAGAGGGATGCCCTGTTTCTTGCCCTATGCCGAGGTCTCTATGGGCAACACTTCCATAACTTGCACCAAATTGGCCACTGACCCACTCTGCTGCTGCTCTCCCTGCCCAGGGAGCTCCTGCAGCGGGGCTGGGGCGAGCCCTGGGGCTGCCCAGCTGGGCTGCATCCCATGGCCAGGAGATGTGGGAATCGGGGTGTGCACCTGGCCAGGGTTGGCAGGAGGTTGCCTGCAGGGGATGGCTCGAGCCTTGGGCTGCAGCTGTGTCCTGTCCTTGTTTTACAGCAGTTTAGTGGTGCCTCACAGCTCTGTCACTGTAATGAACCTGGACAACTGTCAGTCACAGAGCTGCTGATTGCTTTGTCAGCTATGGCTCCTAATGATTTCACCTACAGCAGAAAACTAATTCCTTGGGATTTAGTAGACCACTCCGAAAATTCACCCCAACCTATAACTGGCAGGGTGGAATATCTGCACGCTGTGATGGCAAAGAAAGAAATTGTGAGGAGAACTTCAGCTGTATAAATAGACCGGTGATGGAAGGTAATTAGAGATGGCAAATCTTAGTATTCTAATAAATTAATTCTGTTTACTACTTAGTAAAAATACTATATAGTAAATAATTTCTGATACCTAATCTGGTGACCTTACCTTGCCTAAAGTGACTCATGTAAGCAGTTTACCAGTGCTGTTTTAGCAGAATGCTTCTAAACTGTGTTTTGTAATAACTTCAGGTGGCATATTGTCCATATAACAAATGGCTGTTTGCTATTATCTGTTTAATGTGCTGCTACATACAAACTATGTTCACTTGATCATTTTATTGATCTTCTCATCCTTGAAGATAAATAGGTTATGAATATTACATGTAAAGCAAAACCATTGCTCTCAGTCTTTGATAAAATCCTGTATGTCAGATCCCAAGTTTGACTTGCAGATCAACCGACCGAACATCAGCTAGCAGAAAGCAGCCGTCCTTCCCATTAATGCAGCAGATTGCTAACTTTTTGGCTGCTTTATTTCTCGACAGCAGCCCAACATGTCTATGCCCTCACTCCTTCATGAGGTTTCTGCTAGTTTAGTTCATTCTTTCATGACAGCACAGAGGACGTAACACTGACACACATGCACAGAGGAAGATGATGGAGATTAATTGAAAAACAAAAATATTCTTTTTTTAAAGTAATAGTACGAATCTCTTGAAATGTAGATATCTGTGTAACTGAAATAGCGATTGTTGAAAATGTTAGTGTGGCTTTACTAGTATCAGAAAATAAGTTATTTGAACCTGAAGATCAGAACACTGTAACAGCAGCATTTGCTTTAGAGTATTTCATGCTTGTTAGGCTCTGTGTATGAGCGAGGGGACAGCGGGGCAGCTCTCGCCCGGCTCCCCTAGCCATCAGCACTGCAGTGTTAAATAATTCAAATGCCATTGTTACTCACATGAAAACTGGAAAGGTCTCCCCCCGAGCCCGCACTGTCTCACACGCTCGCCATAGAAAAGCCCATACTGGATTTCTCCAATAAACTTCTCCAGCTCCTGGCCGGTGGCGTTGACGAGCAGGGCTCCTGTCTTGCAGAGGATCGTCCCCTTGACCCACAGCTGTGTGCCGATGGCTGCCGCGGTCCCCAGCGCGCAAGCGAAACTCAGCACCCCAGCGATGCAAAAGATAATTTTCTTCTGCTGGGCTGGCATGGTGGCGTGCAAAGCCCTCGGAGGGATGCGGCTTTCAGCAAGGCGGCAACAAGGTCTTCATCAGCATGGCAAACAGCCGGGCTCCCTGGCCAGAGCCCTGGGCACCCAGCCAGCCCTGCTGGTGGCAGAGACCTCTCTTTAGAGAGCTTCAGCAGCGAACCTCTATGAGACACATTTCCTGAAAGATGCTGTAAAGGTTTTTCTTCCCCATTCCTTTCTGTATAGCTCCCGCTTGCACGCTAATGTGTTTAAATAAGCTGGAAAATAGAGCAGTTTGTAGAGTGTTTCAGTGCATCCTCTGTCACTTGATAACAAGGGTTTAGGGTGACAGAAGGAGCCTCTCTGTAATCTGATGAGAGCTCTGCTCTTCCCAGCCCCCTGTGATTGGGCGAGCAGGGAACTTCAGAGAAGGGCTTGGCTGCTGCCTCTGATATCTGCTCTCCAAAAAGAACGTTTTCAGAGGGTTTTAGTTTTCCAGGTTTTCCTCTAAAGCTAGCAATACTGAGCTGCTCTGTTCTTTTTTTGGGGGGGGAGGTGGTTGGGGTTTTTTTGTTGTTGTTCCTAATGCAATGGCACAGGTAACACAGTACCCTCTCTAAACCAAGAGGCCCCCTCTGCAGTGTTTGGTTGCATTTGGGCACTGCTTTTCCCTGGCAAGGGCAGCGTGTCTGTTATATATTGTACTCTTTTGGCTGCAGTGTGGAGGATGCTCAGACAAACATTTCAGTTCAAGTTTCAAATATACACAAATACATTTTCTCTTACTTTTTTTTTACAGAAGACCCAGTCTACCCCAAGGCTCGGCGACACGCTGGCTCCCTCTGGTTTGTGCAGGAGAGGCAACGCTGGGCTCCCACTGCCACCAGGGACCTGCCTTGCTCTTCATGTGACCCAAAGTCATGGGCACAAAATAACCCATCCTCTGGAGCGTGGCTAACTCAGGGCCTCGGCTAGGACCAGAAGCATCGATCTGTTCACTGCCAGTGATTTAGCAAACACAAGGTTTGGGTTTTTTCCCTAACCAGAACAACTTAGAAAGTGGTTTGTTAACTGGATGCATGTCCATTGCAGGAATACTCTTGAGGTGGTTTGAGATTATCATATCAGTTAGGCTTAAAGACTGAGCCTGGTCTAACTGCACAGGTTTTAAGACAACCTTGGAATTAAAATAACGTGAGGCTGTGTACAAAAATTTTTTTTTAATCTAGTGCTTAAATAAAGCTGTGGTTGATGCTGTGATCATCATCTGTAACCAAAAGATGGCACACTGCTGTATCACTGGGGCCCACTACCGCTGAGCTTACACTGCGCACAGTGCTGAACACATACAGGTTTGGGAAAGTGCTTATTTGTAAAGATGGTTTTGAATACTTTACTTGAGCAGAATGCGCTTACCATTCCCTGAAGAGGGACTGTAATATTTTAGTATGTTTATCACCAGCACAATAGCAGTGAAAGGAACAGATGTGAACATACGCATTTAAAAGCCACTATGTCCTAGGAAGAATTTGATGGGTAAAAAAAAAAAAACAATTAATTGCATTTATCTGTTTTGGTGACTACTTTTTTCAAGAGTCATCATTCTGATAGTCGTATACAGAGCAACAGTTTATGCCATGGAAAATTATGTAGTTTTCTGAATGAGATAAGATGTTTCGGAATCCCTCAGAAAAGTGGAGGTGGTGATACAGGAGCAGCCAGCACCGAGGGGGCTTTGCCCCACAGCATTTGGCTGTACCTTGCGATAGGCCAGGCAGCGGCTGGTGGCGTGAAGATAACAGAGATGAGACTGGGCTGTGCATAGGCAAGCGAGAAATTAGTGAAGAATTAATTGTCCTGTAACTTTTCTTTGGAACTTTTTCTTGGAATATTCATTATCAGCTATGGATCCTGACTGCATTTGTTTGAAAACAATTCAGTTAATGCCTTGGCAGACAGTACAGGTCCCTTTCTAACTCCAGCTGTGAATTCTGCAGGAACACCAGAGACATCTGATGGGGTTTGTCTGTGTTTGCACAGAAGTACAACGTTGCTTTCTGGGCAGTTAAAATAATATTTACTGGTACCTGGGGTACTGTGTTTATCAAACAAATATAGGGGAAAAAAGCTTATGCTCTCTGATGTTAGACTGACAGTTTTAGAAAAGGTGGTCTCATTTTTTTTTAATCTAGTGCTTAAATAAAGCTGTGGTTGATGCTGTGATCATCATCTGTAACCAAAAGATGGCACACTGCTGTATCACTGGGGCCCACTACCGCTGAGCTTACACTGCGCACAGTGCTGAACACATACAGGTTTGGGAAAGTGCTTATTTGTAAAGATGGTTTTGAATACTTTACTTGAGCAGAATGCGCTTACCATTCCCTGAAGAGGGACTGTAATATTTTAGTATGTTTATCACCAGCACAATAGCAGTGAAAGGAACAGATGTGAACATACGCATTTAAAAGCCACTATGTCCTAGGAAGAATTTGATGGGTAAAAAAAAAAAAACAATTAATTGCATTTATCTGTTTTGGTGACTACTTTTTTCAAGAGTCATCATTCTGATAGTCGTATACAGAGCAACAGTTTATGCCATGGAAAATTATGTAGTTTTCTGAATGAGATAAGATGTTTCGGAATCCCTCAGAAAAGTGGAGGTGGTGATACAGGAGCAGCCAGCACCGAGGGGGCTTTGCCCCACAGCATTTGGCTGTACCTTGCGATAGGCCAGGCAGCGGCTGGTGGCGTGAAGATAACAGAGATGAGACTGGGCTGTGCATAGGCAAGCGAGAAATTAGTGAAGAATTAATTGTCCTGTAACTTTTCTTTGGAACTTTTTCTTGGAATATTCATTATCAGCTATGGATCCTGACTGCATTTGTTTGAAAACAATTCAGTTAATGCCTTGGCAGACAGTACAGGTCCCTTTCTAACTCCAGCTGTGAATTCTGCAGGAACACCAGAGACATCTGATGGGGTTTGTCTGTGTTTGCACAGAAGTACAACGTTGCTTTCTGGGCAGTTAAAATAATATTTACTGGTACCTGGGGTACTGTGTTTATCAAACAAATATAGGGGAAAAAAGCTTATGCTCTCTGATGTTAGACTGACAGTTTTAGAAAAGGTGGTCTCCTTCAATGAACTTTCTACAGGTTTTTGTAACACCTTCCCTCTTCTAAAGCACATGAAGCAAAAAATGGGCTGCTTACAGAATGGATAATTATTGGGTTATTTACTAATGGATAGTTAACTGACAAAGTGAAGCTGAGGTATCTGATGATCACAGAAAACATTTTATTGCAAATGCTGTGTGCTCCACCACAATGAATGCTGCTTTGAATGTACAGCAAGAGTAAAGAAGATGCACCAAATCACAAGATAAAAAGGGGAAGCAAACATTTGTTTCTTCCCTCAGCAGTATTAGATTCCCTGCTTTCTGATATCACACTAAAAGCAAGACCTAGATGAGTCACTGTTCAAGGACAAGCTTAAAAACCAAATAGAAGTAGCCAAGGAATATTGTAAAATCGCTGCTGTGACTGGGATGATACTTAATTCCCAGGATGATACTTAGTTCCTGGCCTGAGTGTTGAGAAGCTCCTTCCACGAGCAGCGCATCGCGTAGCACCATGAGCCATTTCACAGCCTGTGTCGCAGTCTCAGGTCTTGCCTGATAGCCCCATCCCGGTCACTGCAGAAGAGCCTTCCTCTTCAGCTTACTTGTCTTGCTCGAGTCCTTTCTCCCATCCCATATGTCCAAGATGTTACTAAATTTGTTACTGGTTTTTCCCTGCAATATTGGAAATGACTGCCCTTTTCCGTGCTGGCTTGGGAGGCCCTTTGTCCTGCTCTTTGCTCCCAGCTTTTCTGCGAGTGGATGGCTGATGGAATGTTTTGTTCCTTTCCCCCGAAATACCCATTTCTCCCTTCAGGCTTGCCTACAATAAAAAAGATGAAGGAAAGACTGTTGTTGTTGTTTAGCTTATAAAAAAAAAATAGGGTGAGGCAATATTATCAGACAATCTTGACTGGACACTGAGCTATACGGGGGTCTTGTCTCTTATGCTGTACTTGCACAGTGGCATAATGGCAGGCTCGGGAGGATTTTCTACCTGTGCCATTACCTTGTAGAGGCCTAAGTACTCTTCCTCCCTGTTTAACATGGTGTTATCTGCTCCTGTGTAGCTGCTCCTGAAAAGGGCTGATTTAAAATTGTCATTGATGCACTTTCTCCTCAGACTTTTTTTTGAACCACCAAGTTTTAAAAAAAACCCTAAACTTGAAGAAATAGCCTATAATACTTCTCTCTCAAGTCACTGCTGTGTTGTATAATGATTAATTTCAATTTTTATTGTAACACACGATATTGTGCGAGTACTAGGGATGATGTATAAAATGCTGCCATCCATGCGACTTTGATCGCAACAGCAGATGCTCGGCTCCTCCTTCAGTTGGTCCCCAGAGCGAGCAGCATTACGTACCATTCCAGTTCACCGACTCTGTATTTAACAACCCATGCGGGTTAACAGTGCATGAGGTGAACAACCACTGCGAACAACACACTGAACTAGATATTTTTGATGAGAGCAAATGCCCATTAAGTGAGGAGTGGACAAGAACCACCTCCAGATGCCTAACCCCCAGTTTTACAGGGTAAATATGCAATGTGAGGTATAGATAGATGAAGAACAGGGGCTTGTATATGTGAAACTGGAAAGCAGTGATAGCATACCACTTACAGATTGAGATGTCCTGTGCTAACTTGATCTCTGGTGATCACTGCAGTCAAACAGACGCTTTATTTTTAATTCTATCAATTAAATTTATCCTATGGTAAGGACAGAGAAAAAAAAGATTTTAGGACCTCTAAAACTGCCACCAAGTTTTCTAAGAGATTTGGATTTCATAACTTTGTATTTTATGGATGAAAACCTCTGTATATCCACAGTCATGTAATTACTTGTGATACGTCTAGAACTGATGCTGATTGCATTCTGTTCTTTTCCACTGTGTCA